ATTATATTCTAGATTTTTTAAATTTAATATGAAATGTTTATCCAATATTTAATTATGTTTATCTGCAGTTAGTTACACGAATTTAAATATGAAAATTTAATAAGTTGTACTTATGCATAATTACTTGTAATATTAAATTTTAAATAATATGCATCAATAAACAGTACTTTATGCACAAAAAATGATTTTCAAGAGTTTTTGTCAAATGCTTTATAATATAGTGTGTGTATATATATAGGGTCGGGTTCACGTGAGACCAAGAGTTTTTCGTGAGACACGTAAGTTAAAATATGCTAAAATGAGGATTCTCTTCAGAGGTTACCGATTTCTATAAGGCTACCGAGATTTTTTTAGCTGGTCTCCAGCGTCTATAGAATTAGTAGAAGTATACATAAGCTGAACTGAACATCCACGACTGACAAAAAAAGATATGATACGGTGACTACCAACTAGGCCAGTGATGAACTGATTTCAATTGATTTAATAGCCCATATCCTTTTATGGTCTTTGAGAGCTCTCATGCGAGCTCGCTTCTGATCTAGCTTTTTCCTCGGACGCGATCATGTAGGCCAGCTTACAAAATCTAGCCCTTTGTCAACGGTTCTCTTGGTTTTAGTTCATTGCATCTCGAGCCCTCTTCCATCAATAACTACGCAGAAATTCTCACTTCAAACTTGATTCACCCTCTACATCGTTAACTCAAAAACAATACCAATGTTGTTGATTTTACTCATGAACGAAGCAAAAACTCGTAGAATCGTGGGAAATATCACATAGATAACAAAGTACTCTATAAATTATCATAAAGTGTAAAGAACAGTAAGTGTGCGAGACGAATACAAATTCGTTCAGTATGCCAATTGAAAATACTGAAACCAGATTAAATCATTTTGGACGGTTAAATAAAAAATGACGGGTTTTCGACATATATTTGACAAAAATATTAATATCTGATCAATATAAAACTTTAATATTCAGAATATCGAATATCAGTTTACTTGTCGATGACGTATTAAATTAATGGTTAGTAGTTTTGCGGGATAAGTGTATTTAAGTGGATATAAAGCAATTGAAGTGATTAAAGATGCATTTAATTTTGGTGTAATATTCTTGAGTTGTTAAGAAATTGGACAAATTTATTGCCAAAAATAAAATAAAAAATATTCCACTACCCACATAACATTTAAGATTATTGGGGACCCATAATCTTAACACACTTTTACCCTTTTTAACAAAATGACAACGTTTTTGTTTTTGTTTTTATGTTAATATACTTTATTTCGTGTTTGTTTTACAAATGTATGCCATGTATATATATATA